AATGGATTGATCAAGCAGTGAGCACGGCTTACATGTCGAAGCAAAGTTCTTGCTGATGTACCAGCCGGGCATGTCGGCTGTTTCATAATTGCCAGACACCCAGAAAAAGTCATTGTCGTGCATATCTTTATCTGGGGTGCCGGTTACAATCTTCTCCTTGCCCGACCTAATCTTTAAGTAATAGTTAAGCCCATCACCGGTATGCCCGAGGGTGTATTGGCGTAGAATCTCGACTAATCCTAGGTTCAGGCCCAGCCGGTTGTTCAGCTCGCCTATCCCGTTTATTATTCTGTAGGTGTCGGTTGAAACTTGTGTTGGTGCTAGCCCGGTACGCCTCAGGAACTCGCACATTAGAGGCTGAACTAAGAAGCAAAGGCCGCTTTCGATTATGGACAGCACGGCGAAGGGGCATTGGTCTAGTCTGCTCCAAGGGTTGGTGTCCTCGGCACCAAGCTTGAGATGTACGTCTGCAGGGACGCCGTATTCTTCCCGGAACGTGGCTAGTGCGACCAGCATGTCAACAAGGAAGCGGTAATGCCCCATGTGAAGCCGGCTAGTCTTAGCACGGCAGTGTTGGTTTAGCAAACTTTCGTTTGATGGCTGCTTGGCTGTTGAGAGCCTCAATGTTGGTGTTTGGTCCCCTAGGACTCTGCAGTAAAAGCCAAGTGTGAGTGGTAGCGCGGCCGCGCAAATGAGCTTGGTTGTAGCTTGAACATAACAAGTACAGCAATATCTCGGTCACTATTGTGTATCCAGAAGCTCGGCCGCTTGAGCGGACCAGATGTCAGCCCGGTCGAGCAGTCTAGCGTTCTGTTAGATTCCTACCCCTCTCTCAAACCTCCAACTTGCTCGGTTCCATTATTTTTTGGGATCAAATGAGGTCCAGTAGCCCGATCAGCCCCAGATCCTCACATGTTCATCGCAAAAAATGAAGAACAGTTGAGGGAGAAGGGGCTGAGGTGGTTTTTGGGGGGCTACATCCTAAAGCCTACTCCTATCATGCCCCAGACTCAGCTACGAAAATCAAATGAAGAACAAAGGAAGTTTGAAACTTACCAATTAGGGCACTGATGGTGGCACGAAGCAGTGGAAAAGAGGCCTTCAGTGACGACGATGGGGGAGGACTTGCTTGCGTAGATGCTTTGATCTGAAAAATGAAGAGTGAGGGCGAAAGCTTTCAATCGCAGGATGGTTTTGGCAGAAGGAAATGAACTGAACAAGAAGGAAGTGTGAAGGGGAAGCGGTGTGCATATAAGAGAGGAAAAAACGCCAAAAATTCGAATATGAAGAAACGGCGGGATTGGTGGTTCGAGACCAATGAGCGAAGGACGCGTGTCCATAATAACGGCAACGTTAGTACTGAAGAGACAGGATGGCGAGTTGAGGCGTCGACCGAGCAAGTCAAGAAACCAAGCATGGGGGTTAGCGCGGTTAACGTCTTGCGGATTAAAGTCGGGTTGAGAATCGACCCCGGTTGGATCATGTAATCCCAGTCACGTTTGCGCGGACGGAATTAAGGGGCAATTGAGAGGGAGATTCATAATCAAGCTTTGGGCCGTGGTAGAAGCCGGGTAGAAGGAGGGCCGAGCATGTTTGGGCTGAGCTAATTGGGGCTGGTCCAGAGCTGGTTTGCTCGGTCGAGTCCCAGGTCCCATGTTTGGGCCGAGCTAAGTTGTCTGCCATCTCAGGTTTCGTGGGTCGCACATTTAGCTCGGGGGGAAAGGTTTTCTGAATATCGGCTTAACCTGTCTAGAGCTTAGTCGTACCGGAATGCTACTGAGCTCGGTTGTGATGGAGCTCGGCGAGTGGCGCCGTCAGACTTGTTACGTAGCACGGTCGTATGAGGCCGAGGTGATGCTATCGGGCTGCCCCGCTCCCGCTAATGTTGTCTGGCGGTTTGATTAGGTGGTGTTTAGCTGGATTTGTGCTGACGGATGGGAGAGCAGCTCTATGTGTCAATAGACGAGTGGGTGCAGAGGTGAACGCAGAAAGTATATAAGCTTGACTGCGCCCCCCATGCTAGGATGGAACATCATTTGGTGAGAGAATCTTAACATTAATTCAGCTATTCTCTCTCTCTCTCTCTCTCTCTCTCTCTCTCTCTTTCTCTACGAGTGTGTGCTAACTAGACCATCGGAGTGGTTTTCCGGCAACACACCGCCGGGTAACTCACCGCCGTTGTGTTTTCAGGTTGATCGGATAGACACACGGAGCTTGGACGAAAGGAGTACGGACAGTGACGAATATCTCTTCCCCGTACAGATCACATCACAAATTATGCATCAGTAAGAATCTACAAAAATCTACAAAATATATAAGAATCTATTATTTGAACTCTGTTTATGGATCACATTACACATTATGCATTAGTATGGGGCTTGACGTTATGCATCATTATGCATCAGTATGAGGCTTGTCCATCAGTATGAGGTAGTTGGATATGTCTCACTGTGGAACATACAAATAATCAGAAAGAAATTAAAACAGCTTTCGCATTTTTTATGCAGATTAAAGAATGGCTTCATCTTTTACTAATAATAACAATATAAGATTAAAATCAAGATTGTATGATTGTGGAAGAATAACTGCCATGTATGTTGTATGAACCAATGAAAATGGAAATCAAAGGCATAGTCCTTTACTTCCTCATCCCTTGTTACATTTTGTGTTTTATAAGCTATAGCAAATCTAAGCTGTTTCGCATATTTTGCATAAAATGCGGACACTTCTTGCTTTGAGATAAAATATATCCTCTTCTTCGGTTCTTCAACTTCACCACTCTCATTAAATTCAAGATTGTTATCTTATTCTTCAAATTCCTCACTCACATTGAATGAATTATTGTTTGAATCAATATCCATTGTAGCTTCAAAGTGAAATAGAATAGACATTAAGAGAGTTAGTAGAGAAAACACTGATTGCCTCTACCAACATTCTTATCACACAACAACCAACATTATGAGGTAATAATTTGGGATTATATTTTTTTTTCATCCCTTTACAGGTTTATTTTTAAACTTCTATTTCAAATTGAACAAAAAAAAAAAAAAATTGTTTCTAAGCATAGATACATGGGGCATGTTCCCTTCAATTAAAAGGTAAACAACTTTAAACAAGCAAAATTAGCACCATAGCAACAGAAAATTATCATAAGCAGCATGAATGAAGGAGATGAAAGTAATGATTATGGCTCCTTTCAGAGGTAATATCCATGAATAAAGGAGGTGAAATTAGGATTAGATAGAAAATTAAGTGAATATTACTGAATTTTTAACCCATTAGACATTCCATATAATAAGAAAAATAAAAAAAATTCTAGTTAGTTGAAAATGGAGGGAATACATGAAAGGAAAAAATTCCACAGTTGGAGGCCATGTAATTTGCATATACATATCCAATAAGTTTTGAAGTTCCACAGTCTGAAGTTCATATCCAATAAGTTCATTTGCACAACCTTGCAACAAGAAGTTCTGCTATCAATTTTTACAAACAAGGTCTGTTTCTTTTTCTCCTATAAGTAGAGTTCATTTTTTTTCTTGAGCAAATCGAAAGAGATAATCAAGTCTGTTTATTTTTCTGTTATAAGTAGAGTTCAATTTTTTTTTTCCTGAGCAAACCACAAGCGATAAGCAAGTCATAACACTAATTCTTAATCACTCAATGCGAAACCCTAAATTATAAACAAAACCAACTAATTTTAGATCATACAAGGCTTGTTAACCAAAAATCAATTCATTACTTGCAATCACACCCACCTGTAAGAGCAGCGACAACACCTTTCGGCACACACAGCAATAGCAACAGCACCCGTTGCTACTAGTAGAAGCAACAGCAGCCTCGTCGGCGGGCACATAGGTCGACTCCTCTCTTAACTCTCTGAACAGATCAATCGGCGCTAATGGGTTTCCTCTCTCTATCTCTTACTCTCTCTACTCTGTTCTTTTTTCTTTTCCTTTTTTTATTTTTATTTTGAAATGAAATGTGTGAGTTTTGTGATTGAAAACAGGGATGACCTATACAAAGAAATGTGGGTGTATAGAGAACTCGGGCCATTCGAGCCTTATTAGTTTCGAGTTACAAATTGGAACAGCTTAAAAAATAAAAAATTGAAAAATCAGGAAAGAAATAAAAGAGAGAACCCCAAAACCACACAGGTAGCTTTTGATAGAACTTTCTAAATATGATTTGAAAATATGAATATATTTTGAGTTTGTGAGTTTTGAAATTATGATTTGAGTGTGAAAAATTTGTTTGGTGAATGAGTTTTGAAAAGAGTTTTGAATTGAGTGAGAAATTTTTGATGTGACACATGATATTTGATACAAAAATTTACAACTCATAACCAAACATATAATTCAAAATTCTATTAAAGCTCATAAAAAATTTTAAAAAATTCGGAAAATATTTTTTTGTTGAATATATAAAATTAACATGTGTCAATTACACAAAAAATAAAAAAATAAAAAAATTTGCACTGTTCCAGTCAATCGGTCAGACGACCGGTGGGACATCTGGTAGGATGTCCGTGAGACGACTGGTTAGTCGAAATTTTTCTACTTTCGACCGAGTTTTCAAAAGTAAGCGTGAAATTAATTTTTAAAAGTTACAATAAAAAATCACGTGAGAATCAATAGCTGAAACTAAAGTTCCAAAATTCTACAAAACAAAGCCACAATTTTTTAGTGTGAAAACTCAAACCAGCTTCAAAATGAAAGAAAATCATGACAAATGAGAAGATCATCCAATATATGCACCACCAACCCTAATCAAAACATTAAAAAATTCGTGAAAACGAGATGCAATAACCCAAATCAACCACTACAAAAACACAGCCCACCATATTCTAATCTCCAACTTCTCCCTCTCAAACACAATCACTCTCTCTCATCTCATCCAATGAAAACTCAAACCGGCTTCAAAATGAAAGAAAATCATGACAAATGAGAAGATCATCCAATATATGCACCACCAACCCTAATCAAAACATTAAAAAATTCGTGAAAACGAGATGCAATAACCCAAATCAACCACTACAAAAACACAGACCACCATATTCTAATCTCCAACTTCTCTCTCTCAAACACAATCACTCTCTCTCATCTCATCGAATGACAACCACCTTATTACCTACCAAACACCTAACTTTCACTTTCACTCTGACTCTTATTCTCATTCTCATCATCTCCCTCCTCTTTTTCCACCCCACACTCAGCACAGAATGCAGTTGCACCTCACCACCACCACCACCACCACCACCACCAGAACCAGAACCAGAGCCTTTAATCTTCCTAGACCAAAGACTCGCCCTAGTTTACCCTATAATCCAAACATTTAAGAACATTATCACTTCCGACCCCCTCGGAATCACCAAAACATGGGTCGGCTCCGACATTTGCAGCTACAGAGGCTTCTACTGCGGCATCCCACCAGATAACAGCTCCGCCACCGTGCTCGCTTCGATCGATTTCAACGGCTTCCAGCTCGGAGCTCCGACTCTCGATGGCTTCATTGATAAACTACCTGATCTCGCCGTCTTCCACGCCAATACTAACAACTTTTCCGGCACGATTTCACCGAATATTTCGAAATTGCCATTCATTTACGAGCTTGATATAAGCAATAACAAGTTTCACGGCGAGTTTCCGGTGTCGGTGCTGGGGATTACCGGCCTGACTTTCTTGGACATCCGATTCAACTTCTTTACCGGGACGGTAGTGTTATTTGATTATTTTAACAAAATAAAATTCATTATTTAATTAGAATTAAACATATGTTTTTTATTTATTTATTAATAAGAAACAATTTTAATTCGTGACTTGATTCAAATTCTTTGATAGATGCTATGAGTGAATTGAATTTTATTTTGAAATTATTTCACTTCCTTAAGACCTTTCTCAAGGAATGGAAAATAATGTTAAGAAAAGGGAAAAAAATTAAAGCAGTAAAAACGCAACTCATAGGCTTTTACATGAATAAACACCAATTTAAATTTTATTTATAAACTGTTTAATTGGTGACTTTGGTTCAAATTTTTTGATAGATGCTATGAATAAACTAGATTTTATCTTACAATTACTTGACTTCATTCACACTATAATGAAATAAGAAAAAATAATTTTAGATACTAGATACTAAAATTTACTCATAATGTATTCTGTACACATGTAATATACCACAATTTTCTTCGCAAGCTTGCTTTTGAAGAGAAAGCTGAGGATGAAACTGAAGTGGCTGAACGAGACTGTCCCCTTTCTTGGGGCAAGTCACTCTCCTTATTACACTTATTTTTGATAAAGAAGAAAGTGAAATCAATCAATGAATTTTTATTTTTATTTTTTTTTTCGTATTTGCATATTTTTTTTTACATATATTTCGCAAATTCTTCATTATATTTAATTTATTTTGATAATTTTTTTTTTCTTTGAGTGACAGGTACCACCTCAGGTCTTCAAGAAAACCCTTGATGTGCTGTTCATTAACAACAACAATTTTATGCAGAGATTACCGGACGATCTCGGATTCACAACGGCGCTTTATTTAACGTTTGCGAATAATAAGTTTACTGGTCCGATACCATGTAGTATCGGAAAAGCTTCCTCAACGTTGATTGAGGTTTTGTTTTTGAACAACCAACTCACGGGTTGTCTTCCCTATGAATTAGGGTTTCTGAGGAACGCAACGGTGTTCGACGCCGGTAACAACCTCTTGACGGGTCCTCTGCCGTGCTCCTTGGGGTGCTTGGAGAAGGTATTGTTAGAAATATAGCACTAATTTTCTTTTCAGTTTAAAAAAGAATAATATTAGGAATTATAAAAAAAAATATCATAAAATATTTTATGAAAATTTTTCATCATTTGATTAATGTATAGTGTTTTCTTATATATGTAATCTAATAATAATTTTCATGATATTTTTTTAATAATAGCTAGCATTACTTAAAAAACCAAACAATAATAGAATTAAAAAAAAAAACAAAAAAAACTGTGATAAAGATAATAAAGTATTGAAATAGGTATACATATAAAAAAAAAAAATTTGCAATAAAATAATAAATAATAAGTAATAATATGAAGTAAAATTGAAAGGGTGTATAAAAGTAAGTGTGAAATGAGTAATGGGGAATTTATTAGAATCACAAAAATGGATTTTGTTTTAACAAAACGTTAAATTTTCATTTTAATAATACGAAACTTTTATTTTGTTGAGTTTTGCGTGTATATTATTTATATAAAAAAAAAATTAGATCGATTTAAGATTTATAAACTCATTACAATGAAGTAGGTATGAATATCTTATCGACTTAATTTTTTTTTTTATACATAATATATATGCAAGACATGATAAATAAATAACTCGAATTTTTAAAATTGAATTGATGAACTCACGAATTTGAACAACACTAGGAAAAAAAGGTCAATCCTTAATGATGGAAGTGTACTATTTCTAAGATTCCATTCAAGTGCTCATAAGTCTTCCTCCTAGTATGCTCACTTCAACGATTTGAGGTGAGTGTGAAGTATATTATGAATTTTATTTTGATAATTTAAATTAATTTAATTTTTTAATATATAATATATATAAATAATTGCATAAAATAAATAATGTGAATTATCAAAATAAAATCATAATGAGTCCCACGAATTCAAACAACACTTCTCCATACAAATCATCTATAGAAGAGGATCCAATTCCTATTTATTTTCTTATTTTTATTAAAATTTCCAAACAGATTGAGCAGCTGAACTTCGCGGGAAATTTCCTGTACGGACAGGTTCCGGAGGCAGTGTGTGCACTTGGGAGTCTAGTGAACTTATCACTGTCAAATAACTATTTCACGAAACTGGGCCCACTGTGTAGGAAGCTGATCAAGAGTGGGGTCCTTAATGTGAGGAAGAACTGCATCAACGATCTTCCTGATCAGAGATCACCGTCTGATTGTGCGTCATTCAATTATCCTAAGAACTGTCCGTACCTCGCATCGTATAATATAATCCCTTGTAAGCTTCCTCCTCCGTATTATGGTCCACGTCACCCATTTCCTCGTCATCCCCCGTGGCCGAACCGGCGTTTGCTTTCATACTCCGCTCTCTCCAGACATAGATTGTGATGACTTTGACTTTGTAAGATACTTGAGTCCGATTATAAATGAAAGAAAAAATTATTTACAAATTAAAATTTTACATAAAAAATTTATCGAACTGTAATGATCGTATGACTTTGAAATTGAAAGGAAGTGTGATGTCATTTTGCATATAAGAATATAAATGTTTGAGACTCACAAGAAATTCTCAAAATTTGATCTACACTGATGTAATATGATAGGTGCCCATTTTTTATTAGTTGCATACTTCAGCCACGTTTGTTTGACGGATTAGGTTAGATATGATTGTTAGTGAAATGATTATTAGTGAAGAGATTGTTAATGTAGGGATTGAGGGAATTAAGTCAAAGGGTGTTTGTTTTGATGATAGTGTGGGAGACAGTTAGTGATGGGATTGTTAAATTATTTTTATATAAAATAAATAAATAAATTATTTACATATTAAAAAAAAACTAAAATAAATATTAAAACAAACAAGTGCACTTGGTCAAAAAAAATAAAAATACAAAAATAAAATTTTTATATAAAATAGACTGAATCCCCTCACTATTTTCCTAATCCCACCCAAAATTCACCTAAGCTAATCCCCCCAGAGTTTGGATCCTCTACCTTGCTCTCCTGCAGTTGTTCCTGCGGTGCCCCAAAATGACGTTGTTTTGGGTCAAAATTTCAAAAAAAAAGAAAAGAAAAAAAAGAATCATAGATGCAGAGGAAGAGAAAGAAGAGAAGAAGAAAGAAGGCACCGGCAAAGGATTTCTCTATTTTGCACCATTTTTCTCTGTACTTTCTTCTCCAAAGCCCTCCATTTCTCACCATCACCCAGAAGAACACCAACATTAACAACCATTCAAATAAAAGTTTGCCGTTAAAAAATTTGATATATATATATATACATACATACATACATACATACATATTAACACTTTGAACATCCATATTTACCTGTTTCTCTTTCTCTCTCTCTCTCTCTGCCGTCCGATTCTCCGGCGTCTCCTCCTCTGATTGTCCACCGCCTGATCTTCTCCCACAACCCCCTACTTGATTCTTCTGTTTGTTTCTCGAGTATTTTTTTGAGCAGTTTGTGTTTGGCTCTCTCTCTCTCTCTCTCTCTCTCTCTCTCTTTCTCTCTCTCTCTCTCTTCTGTTTGATGTTTGTTTGTATTTGTCAAATTTGAAGTTGGAATTTGAAGGTTAGTAAAGTAAAAAAATTACAAGTTTGTTTTTATGCATTTTGAGCAGAGAGAGATTTGGATTCAATGTGAAAAATGGGCAACTTAAAGGTGTGAAAAAGCGGTACTTAAAGGTGTTTGTTAATTTGCAACAAACAAATTTTTTTAATGGCTTGAAAAAAGGATCGAGATGGATGCTTGTTGTTGGTGGCAAGACCGACGAATCCATCTTTCTATTTGATTCTTTTTCCCCTCTTTCTCTTCCACTGGTTTTTTTTTTTTTTTTTTTATAAAAATAAAAATAATTTTTTTTATTATATAAAATAGACTCAATCCCCTCACTATTTTTCTAATCCCATCTAAAATTCACCCAAATTAATCCCCTTATTAAGGAGAATTAGCAAGCCACTTGGAGTAGCAATCTCCCTCCACAAGGAAGCCACCAAACAAGGGTCAGTGGGACCCACCTCCTTACTACTCCAATCCCACCCCTTAATCTCCCAAACAAACATGACCTTAGGATTCGTTTTGGAAGTGGGTTGACTTTTTGACTATTTTATAACCTGTGGCTAAAAAGCCTCATTTGGGAAGGATTTTTTTGGTTTTTTTGATTTTTTGTGAGAGAAAAAATAAAAAGGAAAATTACCAAGAAGTCTTTTTTGAAAAACATGTAGTCTATTTAGTCTCATAACCTTTTGTTTATACCCAAAAGTCCTATAACGTTATTCTTCTTCTCTGCGTCTCTTCTTCTCTACCTCTTTTGCTCTTTGTGATTTTCGGCGATCGTTGACGAGTAACCATATCTTGCTTCTTCTTTTTTTCTTTCCGATATATAATCACCGGCGACTAACGACTACCATCGATTGGAATTCATGGGCAACCACCGACCGCCGACTCCTTACTTCACCCTCACCAACGGTAAAGAAAATATGTTTCTGACGAAGAAGATGAGTAGATCTACTTAGATTTGATGTAGATCTACATCAGATCTGAGTAAATCTACATAAGATTTGGCTAGATCTAAACAAAAAAATAGCTGCCGGAGTACAATCCTCTCTATATCCGTCTTTCTCCTTCGATCTCTTATTTTTTTCTTCATTTTCTCTGCTATACACTTCTCTTTTCGAGTTTTAGTTACAGTCGGTGAAAACTGTAAAATTTTACAGTTTGAAATTTTTTTGGTGCTAGAATGAATCATGCTTTAAAATTGTAAAATTTTGTAGTTTCAAATTTTTTTGGTACTGGAATGAATCATGGTATAAAACTGTAAAATTTTACAATTTTATAACATTCTTTAGAACTGTAAAATTTTATAATTTCATAACATATTTTTCAGTTTGATTAATAAGAATAAATGCTTAATAGATTTTTGTTTTGAAACTATAATATTTTACAATTTCAAAACTTATTTTTCAGTTTGATCAATATTGGAGATTATTTGCTTAAACCTTACAAAAATTAAAAAATAACATATATTTTTCCCATTGTTGTTGTTTTTTGTCGTTTCATTTTTTTTTTCTAGTTTACCAATATTTAGCACATTTTGCTATGTTTTTTCCCTCTAATTTCTCCATTTATTTTTTTCGGCAATATTCTAGATATTTCGGTGAGTCTCCAATGATGTTCTTAACGTCCAGTGAACATTCTAAACATTCCGGCGACTTCCATTAACGTTCTTAACAATCCGGTGAACTTCCGGCGATACTTCGGCGACTTCCCGGCAATACTCCGGCCACTTCCCAGTGATGTTGAACATTCCGACGAGTCTCCGGTGATCATTTGACGGAAGTCCGACGGTAGTAGGATGTAACAGTGTCTGTAAATTAAAAAAAAAAAAAATAGGATTTTTTGGTAACAACTAAAAATATATAGGACTAATTAGTGCAAGTGTTTTGTTTGAGGATGAGATGGGTCTTGAACTTTATATATGGGGACTTATTGGTAAGTTCCCCATATTTTATAGCCTTCTATAATTCTATTTTATTTCCTATGTTTTTGAAAAAGAAAAAAAAAAAAAAAACTTTTGACCCTCTATTTCTTGAATACTTCTACCATGTACATGAGCTGACCATCAACTATTTCACACTTTGCGTAATAACATTGATTTTATTACTTTGATTTTGTACAATATGTAAATATCATTCGTGTTTTTCTATTTTAAAAATCACAAAGAGTAGATTTTGTTATTTATATATATTACATCAACTAATAAAATGCCTTAAAAGAGTTGGTGAACTTTGGAGTTGGTGTTGGACTAAGCTGCGTTGCTTATAGCTCTTGTCAACTTTTCCCTTCCCCATCATAAATAAACTAGGATGGATTCTAATTATATAGCTCAAAAACTGTATGAAATAATTATTAAGAAACAGCAAATATAGATTTATTGATTTTCCTTCATCTCCTTTCTCTTCCCCCCTGCTGTCCATTTCCTTTTAGTGCATTATTCTTTATATATAGTTTTAGGAATAAATTTTCAGAGAGTTAGAACACAGGTTTGGTTCGCCGAACAAATTGTTTAGAGTACTACTACAATTTGTGAAGATCATTGTATCTTGGGAGATAGACGCCACTCAACCGTAAGTACTGTAGCGGGGCGAATCTGTCTTAAGGACAGAGTGTCACACACTCGACTTGGTCTTTAATTATCTATTCGGTTCAACAAAATAAATTTCTGTAAGTTTTTTTTATTTTTGTTTGGATTATTTTCAGTTTATTTTATTTACACAGAAGATTGTTCCAACAAGTTATGATTTATATAGTTAGGGAGAGAAATGTATGTTTTGGTGTGTCGGCCAGGTGAATGAATCTTATAATAATATGTTAATTGATTGTACCTTATCAAATATTTAAGAGATAATAAATAATTAGCAAATAATTGATAAGAGGTGGAATCTTCTGATGACTTATTTGAAATCCAAGTTTACAATTTTTTTTTTTTTTTTGTTATGCTAATTAATGATTTTGTGGTGGCGAATCGATCGACCCATCTTAACATAAAAAACAAAAACAAAAAAAAAACATGAGAGTGATCCGAATTTAACCTGAATTTCATTCAACCCAAGTTGAAATAACATTACAGAAGCTTATGGAAGTGAGGCTAGCATGTTGATTAATTAACAATTGATTAATCAATAATTAATTAAATAATTAATGAATCGATTTAGCTGAAATAGAGACACATATGGTCATATAGTGGGCTTTTAGTTTCACTTTCGAATCTAAGTGTGACTTAGGATGGATAGGGGGCCACCCCCAATGCCCAACACAGCTTAACAATTACAAATTGCAATTACACTCAGGAGCTAATAAGGTGAAAGATCATGTGAATAGATAGAGATCTCTCCCCTCTTTCAAAAACCAACCTTAATTTTTAAACCCTAAAATCGTTAATGTACTCCTCCACTTATTAATCTATGTCATTACCCAAATAATTTTTTAGATAGTGTACATATACGACACCTTTCCAATCCAAACACAATTCTACTATAAACACAGAAAGAAACATATAATAACAGTAAAGAAGTTGAACTCACTAAATTCAAAATCATAGATGGAATTTGCAGTGTTGATGGGTTATTGGAACACCTCATTCAAGATAAACACCCTCAAGTTAGAGGAGTCCATGGGTGCTATAATTCTGCACCCAAAACAGACCAATGAGTGTGGAGAGACAGAGCAAGAAGTCGAAGTCCAGCATGATCCCAAATTTTTGATATTGCAATATATTTTTTATTTTGGTACCTAGCATTTGTAATATGAGAAACTTGTTCTTCCCAATTGACTCTGAAAAACCTAACACTCCAGATTGAAATTTCAACAATCCAAAATCCACAATCCAAAATAAAACTACTTCAACCAAACCCATTCACGAAATCAGATAAAGCCCTAAAAAACCATTTACGAAATCAACACAAAATGAAACAAAAAGAATCATATAAAAACCCTACAGAAAGCTTGAGAAATGGGGAAGGTAGAGACAACGAGAAAGAGAGAGACCCAGATTGACAGAAAGGGAGAGAGACCGAGAGACAAATACCTGTGATTAGTGGTGGTGCTGATTTGCAGTGGTCGTGGTGGTGAGCGCTGATGGCCAGCGATGGTGATGATCGTTAGTGGTGAGCGGCAATGATGTTTGGTATTGACTGCTCTCTATGTTGGTGTATGAGACATAACAGAACCCAAAAGTGTTTTGTGTAAATGGGATACTGGGCGCCAATATTAATGTCTTTCCCTCTAAAT